GCTGCCATTCAGTGGGACCTTGATAGGCTGGAAAGTTGAGCAGAGAGAAACCTAATGAGGTTTAACAAGGGCAAGTGTAGGACCCTGCACCTGGAAAGGAGTAATCCCAAGTACTGATAGAGGCTGGAGGTGATCTTCTAAAGAGCATCTCTGCCGAGAACAACATAGGAGTCTTGGTGGATGGCAAGTTGTTCGTGAGCCAGCAGTGTGTCCTTAAGGCCAGCAGGGCCAGTAGCCACATCTGGTGTATTGTGTCCAGTTCTGGGCTCCTCAGTACAGGAAAGACGAGGAGCTACTGAAGAGGGTCCAGTAAAAGGCCATGAAGATGGTTTGGAATCTGGAGCATCTCTCTTGTGAGGAGAGACTGTGGGAGCTGGGCCTGTTTAGTCTGGAGAAGAGAAGATAGAGGTGATCTCATTATTGCATACAAATATCTTGAAGGTGGGTGCCAAGAGGATGGTGCCAGACTCTTTTTGGTGGTGCACACTGACAGGAGCAATGGCCATAAACCAAAACAAGTTCCACCTTGAGGAAGAACACAAGGAAGAACTTCTTTACATTGAGAGTGGTAGAGCTCTGGAGCAGGCTGCCCTGGGAAGTCATAGATTCTACCCCCTGGGAGACATTCAAAACCCACTTGGACCTGTTCCTGTGTATCTTGCTCTAGGTGATCTTGCTTTAGCAGGGAAGTGGGACTAGATGATCTCCAGAGGTCCTTTCCAACCCTAATGATTCTGTGATTCTGACATCCCGTACCGACACCCATCCTGTTGGCGCTCTGGTGCTATGTCTCAGACTTGACACCGTCTGAGGAGATCAGAAATCACGTCTGAAACTAGCAGGCATTCATTGACCAGTGAGAGAAAAAATTAGCAATTAAAAGGAATGTTTGATTACATTAAGTGATAAGGATGCAAAAACTGGGCTTCAGGTCACTTTAAATATTAGACACCTTTATAACCCTCCTGTCCTGTTATATGAACTTTCTTAGGCGACCTCCTTAATGGCAGCAACTCCTATGCCCCCTGCTCATTTTCACACCTGCTCCACACTCTCAGCTGTGCTGGTACAAGACTTCATTAAGAACACTCTGTGAATTACATTGGGACATAGAGAGGAGTTAAAAATACTCCTGCCAAGAAACTCTAACAGTTATTTTTAACTTAAAACTGTGTTGTGTTATTCATAAGGAAGAGGCAGACTGAATAAATGCAGATAGAAAATTATTCAGGATGAGTATTTACCCTTAGTTATTGTTATTGCAGGGGTAGGGATGTGACTTCAGTGCTGCTGCAGGTATCAAAGCACTCTTTCTGCAGGTGTTTACTCTCCTCCTCCTCCAACCCTCCCTTAATCCCACCCTCTCCCCCTCCCTCCCTCCATTAATCCAGTAACCCCACTCTCCCACCCTCCCTTCACCTTTCCCTACCTCCCTGCCTCCCTCCCTCCCTTAATCTCCCTCCCTTCCCTCTCTGTCCTCTTTCCCTCCTTCCCCCTCTCTCCCTATATCCCTCCCTCCCTTAATCCTGTCCTTCCTCCCTCTCCCTCCCCCTTCCCTTCTACCCTCCCTCAATCTCATCCTTTCCCCCCCTTCTTCCCTTAATCCCACTCTCCCTCTCTCCCTTAATCCCCCCTCCACCCTTCCCCTCCTTCTCTCCCTTAATCCTCCCTCTCCCCCTTCCTCCCTTAATCCTACCCTTCTTCCCTTCCTCCCTTCACACCAACACACTGGAATAGACTGTTTCACAGGTTTGTAAACTGTAAACTGCACATCTTGTCATTTGCTCTTACGTTACCAATTACTGTAGTGTGATGAGTACTGTAAATCTGAAACATGTTCAGTAGTGACACCCAGGAGAGCTGGTTGCCATGGTTGTCAGACCTAACTTGTGTTTTATTTCACCTTGGAGCATGGAAATGCATTCCCTTCTGGAAATGCTGGGGTAAGGTAATGAAATAATTTTTTAAGTCTTATGAGGTCTTATACAGTATACCCAATGTTAACAGTGCCTTGTCAACATCCCGTCTTTGCCTTCTATTTGCCCCTTTCTCTTTTTTACTGTAGCTTAGCAAGCTCTTTGGTGGATGCTACAGCAAATAAGCAACAATTTTGCAGGATACAGTAACTGCTACTATATAGAAGTGTTTACAGTAATTTTACAGGGAAACTAAGAATTCTGGGGTTGTAGGATTTTAGGGAAGATGGGAAGATCACAGCAGCTCACTTAATTTTTTTATAAATTCAAAGTGTTTTCATGTGACATCTCTCTTAGCAAGAACACCAAAAAAGGAAGGAAAAAGATGAATTTCCATCTACACCTGAATACTGTTAGCAGTACTTTTTCGTTTTTGCTGATCTTTTTTGTATCAGTGGTGCTACTTAAGTGCACAGATGTCTGTGGAAGAACAATTTGACTCAATACTGCCAGAGCAAAAATCCCTTTTGCTGTTAACAGCCATTCTTTATTTCAGGCACAATGATTAAACAACAAAAAAAGTGATTACACAGAACACACTAGAAATCAAAAAACGGGGATTAGCTGGCACCACAGCTC